AGAAATCTCCATACTGCTTTCCAAATTGGCTGCACCAATTTGCAGTCCCACCAGCAATGAACAAGAGTGCCCTTTTCCCCGCATCCTCTCCAGCACTTATTGTTGTTTGACTTTCTAATGGCTGCCAATCTTACTGGGGTGAGATAGTGGGTTATAAAATAAATCTTGAAAATATGCAGAATATGTTCTCCAATCACAACTAAATTAAATAAGAAATCAATAACAACAATTAATCTAGTGGGTTATCAATATTTGGATATTAACAACTGTCTAAATTTCATTAGAAAATATGTTGCAAAAAATTACAGGAGAACTTACAAATATATCTGGACTATAATTTAAAGTAATAGTTATTTAAAAAGAAGAAAGTATAAAATGAACTATTTATGCTTTTAACTTTTAAAATAAGAAAAGGAAGTTAAATACAAAGTAGGCATGGAAGCTTGTATAAACATAAACTTGTAAATTAAATAATTAAATAGAAAACAAAAAGGAAAAAAATTCATTCTTTTAAATGATTCTTAAATTTTATCAAACTTTTAGTAGAACTCACTAGAGAAAATGCAATGGAAAAAAATTGATTATTGTGTCAAGAAAGATAGGGCACATCACTACAAACTGTATAGATACTAAAATGATAATAATGTAATATTATGATCAACTTAAAGCTAATGATTTTGGTAAGTAAGATGAAATGGACTATTGCCTTCAAAGGTACAACTGACTAAACACAAGAAGAAGAAACAGATTGAAACAGTTTTTGAGACAAGACACAGGAAACTACTCTCACCACTCCTGCTTAATATAGTGCTAGAAATTCTAGTGCAAGAAATTAGGCAAGAGAAGGAAATAAAAGGGATAAAAATTGGAAAGGAAAAAGTCAAAATATTACTGTTTGCAGATGATAAGTTCCTATACTTAAAGAATCCAAAAGACTGCTAGAGTTAATAAACAAATGTGGTAAAGTATCATGGTACAAAATCAACACACCAAAATCAATAGCTCTCCTCTATACCATCAACAAATATGCTGAGAAAAAAATCAGAAAAACACTTCCATTCAAAATAACTTCAAAAGGAAGATGAATAAGATACCTGAGAATGTATTTAAGCTAAGAGATGAAAGGTCTATACAATGCAAACTACAAATCATTGAGGAAAACTTCAGACAATAGAAAGACCACCCATGTTCATGATGTTCATGAATAGGCAAAATTAATATTTTAAAATGGTCATACTACTAAAAGCAAATTTTGCATTCAATGCAATCCCTATAAAAATACCAATAACATTCTTCAGAGAACTAGAAAAACCTGAGTAAAATTCATTTGGAAGAATAAAAGACACAGAATTGCCATTGCAATATGTTTTTGTTTTTTAATTTGTTTTAATTAGTTATACATAACAGTAGAATGCATTTATGCACTTTGATGTATCACACATAGATGGGATGTAATTTCTCATTTTTCTGAGTGTACAGGTTGCAGAGTCATATTGCTCATGCAGTCACATATATTCATATAGTAATAATGTCTGTTTCCTTCTACTATCTTTCCTATCCCCAAAGCTCCTCCTCTTCTCTCCCAACACATCCCTCTACCTAATCTATGGTATTGCTATTCTTTTCTAGTGCACCCTACCTGATTGTGACAAAGCAATATTAACCCCAAAACGCAATGCCAGAGGCATCAAAGTATCTATCTTTAAATTATTTAACAGAGCTAGAGTAACAAAAACTATGTGCATGCTTCTGGCATAAAAACAGACACATTGACCAACCATACTGAAGACACAGAGACAAACCCACACATACACAGTCATCTGATCCT